GAGGTGGGAATAGTGTCCCGAGGTAAGAATAGTGTCCTGAGGTGAGAATAGTGTTCCGAGGTGAGAATAGTGTCCCGAGGTGGAAACAATATTTTGTAGCAGGAAGGAAGGAAATGGAAGGCAAATAAAAACCCGAAGAAGGGTAAGGAGAAACAGGCCAAAAAGACGCCCAAGACGCTGAACTAACCCCTTCATTAGAACCGTATGTTTCATAAATCTCCTTAATCCTTGTATTGCGTTGCTATCCCGCTTATCCGTACAGGATGGAGCACTTAGTCTATCTGTTATCCTCCGACCTGAAATGCCACACACACTGAAAAGGACCAACGTGGATGCTGCCTATCCTCCTCTCGGGGCCAACGTGGATGCTGCCTATCCTCCTCCCTGGGCCAACGTGGATGCTGCCTATCCTTCCCTGGGCCAACGTGGATGCTGCCTATCCTCCCCGCCCCCCGGGACCAACGTGGATGCTGCCTATCCTCCTCTCGGGGCCAACATGGATGCTGCCTATCCTCCTCCCTGGGCCAACGTGGATGCTGCCTATCCTTCCCCCGGGACCAACGTGGATGCTGCCTATCCTTCCCCCGGGACCAACGTGGATGCTGCCTATCCTCCTCCCTGGGCCAACGTGGATGCTGCCTATCCTCCCCCAGGGCCAACGTGGATGCTGCCTATCCTTCCCCCGGGACCAACGTGGATGCTGCCTATCCTTCCCCCGGGGCCAACGTGGATGCTGCCTATCCTTCCCCCGGGACCAACGTGGATGCTGCCTATCCTCCCCCGGGGCCAACAAACCCTGCATGAACCCCCCATCACCGCCCAAGTGGGAAATTTCCAATAGTCACGGGTCATCCAAGAAAGAGTTCGGTGTGAGGAGATCGGGCCAAAGGCGGTCTTTTCCCTGAAGAATCGTTCGGAAGTTGGATTACTCAAATGGGGTAATTTTTAGGTCGGCTTCCTAACGTAGGCCCGTCCCTATCGTGGGTTAATAGTGCGGGGGTCGTCCAGATATCGTGTTATTGGTGCGGGTTCCCACCGATATCTCAAGACCTATGCTGTGTCTCTCTGTGTTAGGGGGGTGCCTGTGAAATATCTTGTGTTCGTGCCAGATCGTACCAGAGCTCAGTTCGTCGTTCAACATTGACTATTCGTTGGATTCGTTCTTGTGCAGACGTACCGATGTTCGTCGAAGTCCTGACGAAGTCTTGAGAGACGTCGGATTCGTTCTTGTGCAGACGTACCGATGTTCGTCGAAGTCCTGACGAAGTCTTGAGAGACGTCGGATTCGTTCTTGTGCAGACGTACCGATGTTCGTCGAAGTCCTGACGAAGTCTTGAGAGACGTCGGATTCGTTCTTGTGCAGACGTACCGATGTTCGTCGAAGTCCTGACGAAGTCTTGAGAGACGTCGGATTCGTTCTTGTGCAGACGTACCGATGTTCGTCGAAGTCCTGACGAAGTCTTGAGAGACGTCGGATTCGTTCTTGTGCAGACGTACCGATGTTCGTCGAAGTCCTGACGAAGTCTTGAGAGACGTCGGATTCGTTCTTGTGCAGACGTACCGATGTTCAACGAAGTCCTGACGAAGTTTCGCGAGATGCAGTGATTCACTGCTGTTGACCACACTTTTCCGCCGGGCGGTGACAATGGACCATTATCAAGTCGACTGTGAAAAGGAAAAACCGGACCACAATCGACTTGATATTGGTCCAGGACGGACCGAAACATCGTCGTCTCTTCAATTTGTAGTGTGTGGTCTGGTCAACATTTTTCAGCCACGTTATTGGGACTTCTCATCTGCAAAAGAATTTATGTAAACAATAATGTCCACTCTGATTGTCCCCCAGACCATGAAATATGCCCACACTGTAGAACAGTGACATCAACACCAGATTGCATTATGTTGCAGTCACCAGACAGAGCGACCTGACCACTTACGACCACAGACAAATGACACCTCATGAACGTGGCTATGTATAAGACCGAGTGGACTAATCCTCCCACAGTTACACTACCGACTGCTTCAGTTAACAACTGCTTCGAAGAATGCTAAGGGAAGGGCGAGAACTGGTTCAATCAGTCAATACTCAGCCTGACTGATTCGCCACACTTACAGGTCCATGTGACAACAGATTCGACCAATTAGTGGCTCGTCTAATGACTGGCTTATCAGCCAGCGAGTATCTTAATTACGAGCTTAATTGCTGACTGACTTCAATCACTCTAATTTGTAATAGGCAATTAGGAAGGTGCTTATCAGCGCCCGCTCATCACACCTCGTTGGGCCCGTCACACCCACGACACGGTACACCCACGACAGTCTACACCCACGACACGGTACACCCACGACACGGTACACCCACGACAGTCTACACCCACGACACGGTACACCCACGACACGGTACACCCACGACAGTCTACACCCACGACACGGTACACCCACGACAGTCTACACCCACGACACGGTACACCCACGACACGGTACACCCACGACACGGTACACCCACGTCACGGTACACCCACGACACGGTACACCCACGACACGGTACACCCACGACACGGTACACCCACGACACGGTACACCCACGACAGTCTACACCCACGACACGGTACACCCACGACACGGTACACCCACGATAGTCTACACCCACGACACGGTACACCCACGAAAGTTTACACCTTCGAGGTGCCACTATAGGACGGTACACGAGCACAGACTACCAGACAACCGTACACCCACCACAGACTACCAGACAACGGTACACCCACCACAGACTACCACACAACGGTACACCCACCACAGACTACCACACAACGGTACACACACCACAGACTACCAGACAACGGTACACCCACCACAGACTACCAGACAACGGTACACCCACCACAGACTACCACACAACGGTACACGAGCACAGACTACCAGACATGGGTACACCCACCACAGACTACCACACAACGGTACACCCACCACAGAAAGAAGAGGGGGTCCTCCTCCTCCTCCGGGCTACACCCCCCCCCCCATCACTATAGTACCATCATAACCCAACCATCAACACCCAGGCCAATTTCACACACCAACCACCGACCCATAAACTACCGGCACACCCATAAAACTCGCCCTTTTCTGCCCTAGTTTCTTCCCTCTCTCTTATTCCTCCCAAGTCATCAAACTCTCACTCATCCCAAGATCTTTTCACCTTTCTTTCTCTCGCACCTTTCCTTAATTCTTCCTTTTCCACCCCGTCCCTCCCCTTTCTTTACATCTTTCCGTCCCTTTCGGCGCCAATCGTCCAGGCTCGGCCTGGACGATTTACGAGTCACTGCTGTACCTGTTTAAATCATTCTTAAGTATGTGGCGCAAGTTGACTGACAGTTGAGAGGCGGGACCAAAGAGCCAGAGCTCAACCCCCCCCCCGCCATCACATCTAGGTGAGTACATACACACACACAAACATTTACCACATATAAAGCAAGAAAGCGAGAGTTGTTCAGCGTATATCAGGTTAAAGAATGTATGATAGACATTCAGTGTTCATCAGGGAGGATGTATGATAGACATTCTTGAGGTTATCTTGAGATGATTTCGGGGCTTTTTAGTGTCCCCGCGGCCCGGTCCTCGACCAGGCCTCCACCCCCAGGAAGCAGCCCGTGACAGCTGACTAACACCCAGGTACCTATTTTACTGCTAGGTAACAGGGGCATAGGGTGAAAGAAACTCTGCCCATTGTTTCTCGCCGGCGCCTGGGATCGAACCCAGGACCACAGGATCACAAGTCCCGCGTGCTGTCCGCTCGGCCGACCGGCTCATTCAGTGTTCATCAGGGAGGATGTATGATAGACTCTAAGGCTATACAAAGGCTCAACAGCTGATGAAACACAAGAGGATCGAGTGTCGCTACCTCAGACGTGAGCCACATATACGAGGGCCGGGAGCTATTGTTCAACCCCTGAACCAGCTCATAACCAAAGACTTTATAATATCCGAGACGTCGAGACGCCACGTACTAGAAAGAGACGTCACCCACTAGAGAGAGAGAGAGACGTCACCCACTAGAAAGAGACGTCACCCACTAGAAAGAGACGTCACCCACTAGAAAGAGACGTCACCCACTAGAAAGAGACGTCACCCACTAGAAAGAGACGTCACACACTAGAAAGAGACGTCACACACTAGAAAGAGACGTCACCCACTAGAAAGAGACGTCACCCACTAGAAAGAGACGTCACCCACTAGAAAGAGACGTCACCCACTAGAAAGAGACGTCACCCACTAGAGAGAGACGTCACCCACTAGAAAGAGACGTCACCCACTAGAAAGAGACGTCACCCACTAGAAAGAGACGTCACCCACTAGAAAGAGACGTCACCCACTAGAGAGAGAGAGAGACATCACCCACCAGAGAGAAAGAGAGAGAGAACGTCAGCTGTGAGAATCAGCAGTCAGACGACCCCGTCAGAGGGAAGTCAGCCTTAGGACATACCATGTATCACCAGTTAAATAGACTGTCGCGTCGGCTTGAGGAGAAAATGGAGACGAAATCTCTTGATCCGTATTGAAGAGTGAGCTGACTAGGTCAGCTGAGCCACCTGCGGCCAGAGCAGCCCGCCAGTAGACACAGTCTGGTGGATCACCCAACACTATCTGTGTGCTGCAGCGATACTCACTGAGATACATTTCTATTGTATTATGAGGTTATTAATCATAAAATTAAGCAGCTTCTGTTAATCTTTTTTTATAGTAATGGAAATAATTATATTTACAGTTTTTGTTAGTTTCTGCTTAAATATCAACGTGAATATATTTATACTTCGAGAGAGGGTTTTTGTCTGTCTGTCTGCCTGCTTGATTGTCTGCTTGTGTCTCTGTCTGCTTGTTTGACTGTCTGCCTTCTTGTTTGTCAGCTTATTTTTCTGTCTGTCTGCTTTTTTCTCTGTCTGCCTGCTTGATTGTCTGCTTGTGTCTCTGTCTGCTTGTTTGACTGTCTGCCTGCTTGTTTGTCAGCTTATTTTTCTGTCTGTCTGCTTTTTTCTCTGTCTGCCTGCTTGATTGTCTGCTTGTATCTCTGTCTGCCTGCTTGATTGTCTGCTTGTATCTCTGTCTGTCTGCTTGTTTCTCTGTCTGCCTGCTTGATTGTCTGCTTGTATCTCTGTCTGTCTGCTTGTTTCTCTGTCTGCCTGCTTGATTGTCTGCTTGTATCTCTGTCTGCCTGCTTGATTGTCTGCTTGTATCTCTGTCTGTCTGCTTGTTTCTCTGTCTGTCTGCTTGATTGTCTGCTTGTGTCTCTGTCTGCCTGCTTGATTGTCTGAGTGTCTCTGTCTGCCTGCTTGATTGTCTGAGTGTCTCTGTCTGCCTGCTTGATTGTCTGAGTATCTCTGTCTGCCTGCTTGATTGTCTGAGTATCTGTCTGCCTGCTTGATTGTCTGCTTGTTTCTCTGTCTGTCTGCTTGTTTCTCTGTCTGCCTGCTTGATTGTCTGTTTGTTTCTCTGTCTGTCTGCTTGTATCTCTGTCTGTCTGCTTGATTGGGTGTCTGTTCAAAGCTGGAGACCACACGCATGGGAACAGTCTTACCCAAATTTGCAGGGTAACTGATCTCGGGTATGGGACGGACATAGGCTGCTTGAGGCAGGCTCAAGTTGGAAGCTTGAAAACTTCGTTCCAAACCAACTTTAAAGAGAATTTTAACCATCAGAAGAATAAGTACAAAACATGAACAAAAAACCAAACTGTTGTATAAATAGGGGTGTAAAAAGTTGAAGAAAAACAGTAAAAAAATATTAAAAATAAAGTAAAAACTAATAAAGAAACACATAATTAATTTGTTTTTATATATAAAACTACCAAAAATAGTGTTAAACTGTCGACATATTGAAAAATAAATATATCAGAAAATATTGTAAATATATATCGTAAGATAAATATATCAGAAAAATATATCAGAAAATATCGTAAAAATATATCGTAAGATAAATATATTGAAAAATGTATCAGAAAATGCTACAAAACTATGGTGGAAATAGGGTCCAAGCGACCACCATTCGTAGTTGAAGGGACGACTAAGCTGATTACCAGAGCGTGGCCAGCCGACAATCCAATTAAAAAGCGTTAATGACTCGTTGGTAACGAGTCATGAGTCATTAACCGGACCTGGGGCCGAGAGAGAAACATTAATACCGAAGATGATGAACTATTTGCACGCAAACAGTTACCTGTGGCGACACGCCATATGTACTCCCCTAGTTGTGTTTGCGGGGGTTGAGCTCTGGCTCTTTGGTCCCGCCTCTCAACTGTCAATCAACAGGTGTACAGGTTCCTGAGTTTACTGGGCTCTATCATATCTACATTTGAAACTGTGTATGGAGTCAGCCTTCACCCAACCCGTTCTCGCACTTTCTTACAGCCAACATCGACTTATTAAATACGTGCATATGTGACATACTAAACATACTAGTTTACCTTGAAAAGTCATTACAATTATTACTTAACCTATACCTATAATAGGTTTAGTAATAATTGTAATTACGAAGCAATAAGATGCTAATCTTAACATACTAAGAAGGTTAGGTAAGGTCGGTGTTTTCTATGAAGCTTTACAAGGTAAACTAGTATGTTTAGTATGTCACATATGCACGTATTTAATAACTCAATATTGACTATACGAAAGTGCGAGAACGGGTTGCTCCACCACATCACTGCCTAATGCATTCCATTTGTGTGTGTGTGTAGAAAGATGAGAATTAAATTCTGGAAAGTTACATAGATACAATAGGAATCAGCAAACACACTCGTGAATTTATTATATACATCTTGAGTGCTGAGCTAATTCGGTTGTTTTATTAGTAATTCGCTGTTTATGAACCGATGTTTTGACATTGTCTCGAAATCCATAAGCTGCGTTTTTGTTTTCTGATAATAAATAGACTTCCGGGTTTGCCCAAACAGCTTTGGTACTGGTTGTTCGGTTAAGAAACCCGTCTTCAGGCCAGGCTCGTTAAAGCCGCGGCCGTCCCCACAAATACTCATTCGTCAGTTTTAACAATGTGCATTAAAAATAGGTTTGTTCTCATTTATGCATTAAAATTATTATATATTAAAAATTTTATGCATAGTAAAATTAGGGTCAGTGTTTAGGTTCTGTTGGCGTTTAATTGCGTTTAAATTACTTAGGTGAAGCATTTTAAGAGAAGCGAGTCGAACAAAGGTTGTTAGCGAAGCACCGTTCGAGAACTGGTCGAACGTCATTAATTGTGAGTCAAGCAAATCGTCTTCAATCCTAAACAGGATGATTGGAGGCTGGGTTAACGAGCATTTGACCTTTGTTGATGAGGACGGGCTGGGTTAGGGGCAATGTTAAGTCGAATGTGCTCGTACTGCTCCAGGTGTGTGGTGGTGCTGCTGTTGCTGTTGTGCTGTTGATACTGTTTTTGGTGCTGTGGCTGCTGCTGTTTTAGTTAGGACTGTTGCTGCTTAAGTTAGTGCTGTTGCTGCTTAAGTTAGCGCTGTTGCTGCTTAAGTTAGCACTGTTGCTGCTTAAGATAGCACTGTTGCTGCTTAAGTTAACGCTGTTGCTGCTTAAGTTAGCGCTGTTGCTGCTTTTGTTAGTGCTGTTGCTGCTTAAGTTAGCGCTGTTGCTGCTTAAGTTAGCGCTGTTGCTGCTTAAGTTAGCACTGTTGCTGCTTAAGATAGCACTGTTGTTGCTTAAGTTAACGCTGTTGCTGCTTAAGTTAGCGCTGTTGCTGCTTTTGTTAGTGCTGTTGCTGCTTAAGTTAGCGCTGTTGCTGCTTAAGTTAGCACTGTTGCTGCTTAAGATAGCACTGTTGCTGCTTAAGTTAACGCCGTTGCTGCTTAAGTTAGCGCTGTTGCTGCTTTTGTTAGTGCTGTTGCTGCTTAAGTTAGCGCTGTTGCTGCTTAAGTTAGCGCTGTTGCTGCTTAAGTTAGCGCTGTTGCTGCTTTAGTTAGCGCTGTTCCTGCTTAAGTTAGCGCTGTTGCTGCTTAAGTTAGCGCTGTTGCTGTCGCTACGATAATGCCTCTTCTGCTGATCACGGAACTAGCAAAGACTATTGGCCTTATCATCATGAAGACCAGCTCAAGCAAGGCTCAAACAAGGTCAAGCAAGGCCCAAGCAAGACTCAAGGCCCAAGCAAGGCTTAAGCAAGGCCCAAGCAAGGCTTAAGCAAGGCTCAAGCAAGGCCCAAGCAAGGCCCAAGCAAGGCTCAAGCAAGGCTCAAGCAAGGCTCAAGCAAGACTCCCTCTCCTGGGCTGCAGCACCCCGTCGTAATAGGGTGTAGCAGGAATGGAGGCAAGGAGATATGGCCCGCGAGGCGATCAAGCAGTGATATGCAGGACGGAGGAAGACTCATCAGATTCTCACTAATGACTCTCATCTTGCCTTATCTATTTATGCTAATCAGGTAATTATATGTCAACTTGTCAGTGATGACGTGAGGGGTGGAGATGGGAGAGGATTGGCGCTCTTGTTCTTGCTTCTTGCTCCCTCTTCTTCCTCTTTCTCTCGAACCTTGCCCTTCTTCTCCATCATTCTCTCCCTCTTCTCATTCTCTTGCTTCGTCCTTGTCCTCCATCTGCTTCGTTTCCTCTTGATTTATTCAACTCTTTCTCTTTACTTCGGTACCTTACCTTGAGGTTACCTTGAGGTGCTTCCGGGGCTTAGCGTCCCCGCGGCCCGGTTGGCGACCAGGCCTCCTGGTTGCTGGACTGATCAACCAGGCTGTTGGACGCGGCTGCTCGCAGCCTGACGTATGAGTCACAGCCTGGTTGATCAGGTATCCTTTGATCAGTAAATTGAATATGAACAATATACACAACAAATTCAATAAAATCTTTACCTGACGAACAACATTACAATCAAATCCAATAAAAATCCAAGATAACTAAGCAGGAAAATTTACCATCTTGAGATGATTTCGGGGCTTTAATGTCCCCGCGGCCCGGTCCTCGACCAGGCCTCCACCCCCAGAAAGCAGCCCGTGACAGCTAACACCCAGGTACCTATTTTACTGCTAGGTAACAGGGGTATACGGTGAAAGAAACTCTGCCCCATTGCTTCTCGCCGGCGCCCGGGATCGAACCCGGGACCACCGGATAACAAGTCCAGTGTGCTGTCCGCTCGGCCGACCGGCTCCCGACCATTTCAAGAACTAAAATTAAAAAGGAATTTACAGACTTCAGCTAAAATAAATTGTAGAGGATAATTACGAGGACTGAAAAATATGCATATCATCAAAAGTATGCATAGCTCTGAGCCAGGATTCATCAAGCAGTTATGTATCCACTTAACGAAACCTGTACATCTTTCCTCGATCATGGCACCGCATAAACCCATTATTTATCTAACGTTTGTGTTTATAGCTTACAATCTCGGCTCGACTCATCAACAGGAGAGTCAAACCGGAGGAGACTGTGCTCTGTAGCCCAACAAGATTGACTCGACCACTAGAACCACGAGACTGCTGTTCACTACCTTTGGTGGCAATTTCCACGTTAGACCAGGAGTGAGTACTGTGAAGTACTGTGCTTCTCAAGTCCGTCATGAGCCCCTGGCTAGACTTGAGGTAACTTGGTGCCAAAGCCCCACAACAAAGCCATTCAACCCGACGGTGAGTCTGGCATTTCTCGCAGGAACCTGTTTTAATTGTGTCTTGAACACGTCTCCTGTTGTCCCGGGTCAGCTCCACAAGTCTCGAAGTCAGAGTGAACGGCCAATATTGCTAGCTTCTGTAGCTCAGAGTTCAGCTTCCACTTCGCCAGGTGATGGCCCGGGGCCCAGGGCCCAGGGACCACAGCCCCAAGGGGCAAGAATCTACACCCCCCAAGGGGCAATAATCTACAGCCCCCAAGGGGCAAGAATCTACACCCCCCAAGGGGCAAGAATCTACACCCCCCAAGGGGCAAGAATCTACAGCCCCCAAGGGGCAATAATCTACAGCCCTCAAGGGGCAAGAATCTACAGCCCCCAAGGGGCAATAATCTACAGCCCCCAAGGGGCAATAATCTACAGCCCCCAAGGGGCAAGAATCTACAGCCCCCAAGGGGCAAGAATCTACAGCCCCCAAGGGGCAAGAATCTACAGCCCCCAAGGGGCAAGAATCTACAGCCCCCAAGGGGCAATAATCTACAGCCCCCAAGGGGCAATAATCTACAGCCCCCAAGGGGCAATAATCTACAGCCCTAAGGGCCATCATTCAAGCCTCGTCAGTGCCCCTGGCGACGAAGACGAGGTCGTCGCCAACAACGAAACACTTCCCGTCTGAGATCGACATTTTACCTCGCTTCCTCCGCGGAAATAACCAAATTCCTTCAGACAATTACCCGTAGAATGGAAGCTTTGAAGCCGTCTCATGTTTCTCTTGATAATTTTAGAACTTCACACGTGTCGGAAAATGGCCACGTTCAGGACAACTTTCCCGACGCAATCTTAAAACAAAACAAACAAAAAAGATGAAGCAAAATACTCATCATTTATTTTGATATCAATATTACAAATAATTAAGGTTTTATGAGGATAAAATACACGCAAATTATATATAAAAAAAGGATACTTTAAAAGGAGCGTTTAACAATTCGTTTTTGTCGTGTTGAAATATGTTTCTTTACTCTGGACTTTTATGGTGTAATTACATCTATTTCGTGGTCACTGGAGTTGGGAAAAGAAGTGAAATTGTAGATGGA